AAATTTGTTTATCCATTTATCGTATCAATGGACATTTGTGTTTCTTCCGACTCTTGGCTATTGTGACAGCGCTTCCATGAACACAGTGTACAAACAGCTCTTCAGGACTCTGTTTTCCTTTCTCTTGGGTATATATCCAAAAGTGGGATTGCTAAATTATATGGTACTTTTAATTTTTTGAGGAACTGCCACACTGTTTTCCACAGCGGCTGTACCATTTCACATTCACAACTGATACCAATTGGCACCAAGGTCCCAATTTCTCTACATTCTCACCAACCCTGGTTATTTTCTGTGTTATTAACAGTAGTCATTCTAATGGGTGTGAGGTGATATCTTATTGTGATTTTGGTTTGCATTTCCCTAACAATTACTGATTTTCAGCATTTTTTCATTTCCTTGTTGGACCTTTTTATATGTTCTTTGGAGAAATGTCTCTTCAAGTCCTTTGCCCATTTTAAATTAGGTTATTTGAGGGGTTTTTTGTTCCTGCTTAGTCTTCTATATGTGGTCAGTGAGTCAAGTTCCTCACTCTCTTTTATCTTTAACATTCTCTAATCAAGAGATGCCCCAAGATACTCTCCTGTTTTGAAATGCTAAGAATACAGACACCTTTGCTCTCAAGAATCTTGACATTGTAAAGGCACCATTTCATGAATCCGAGAACTCTTGGAGAAGTTTTGATATGTATGAAGTCTTCCATAAAGATATTATATTATTACCATTGTTCTCATTCATTTCAGTTTGACAACATTTACAGAGTACCTACTATATAGCATGCATTGCACCATGCATACGTTAGAATTAATATAAAACACAAAATATTTTAATTCCTTACCCACTAGCTAGACTCTGGGCCACAATTTTTGGATATATAATTGACCCTTAAACAATGTGGAGGCTGTGTTTGGCTTCAGAGAATTTTTTCTGAAGACTCTTTGAATGCGTTTGCCCATTTCATGACGCATGATTTACGAAGGCAACTGCCCACACCATGCTGAATGCTAAACAGTTTTTGACCAAAAACGGTATGACCCCCATACCCCACCCTCCTTATTCACCCTATCTTGTCCCGAGCAACTTTTTTCGCTTCCCCAGATGAAAAAAGTCCTCAAAGGGAAACCTTTTGCCGATGTGGAAGAGGTGAAACAAAAAACCAGCAGAAGCACTAAAAGACATCAAAATCAGCAAGTTCAAAAACTGTTTTGAGCAATGGAAAAAACATGTCGATAGCTGTATTGCATCAAATGGAAAGTACTTTGAAGGTGACTGAAGTTGAAACATGTAAGAATAAATACACCATTTTTTATAAATAAATTCCAGGTTTTCTGGGGTCCCCCCTCCTGTAGCCCCTCCTTATCCATGGGGTTGGGGGATGGGAATTGGTTCTAGGGCCCCCACAGGTCCCAAAATCTGAGGATGTTCAAGTCTCTTATATAAAATGGTACAGTACACACATACAGTTGGCATCATGTATTCCCAACTGCGAACCGAAAATACTGTTTCCGATCTGTGGTTGTTTGACTCCTCGGATGCAAAACCTGGGATTCAGGAGACTGGCTGTTTATTTATTGAAAACAAACAAACAAACAGAGTATATGTGGACACAAGCAGTTGAAACCCATGTTGTTCAAGGTCAACTGTATCTATTTTTGAATGAGGAGTTTAAAAAGCTGCAAATCTCTTTTGATCTTTTCTGCCAGATTGTCTCTCTCTGAATTAGGAAGTATATATCCTTAGGGAAGCCTGATCTTTGGGTGGGACCTTTCAATTTTCCCAGGCCCCGCCCCAGTGAAAAACCAGCCCTACCTAAAAATGTAATCTCTTTAAAATTCTTGGTAAAGTTTTGGAGTCTTCCTACACAAGTCTATCATTTTTGCTTCTAAACAGAAATTCATAGCTCATTCAGAAAGAATTTCATTCTGGTTGCAGGTTGTTGAATCATACAATCTCGACTTGTCCTTAACACATGCAGTAATCCACCGGACTTTCTCTGTTGGTATACATCTTTTCTATTCCATCAGAGTCTCTGATCCATAATAACGTTTGTCTGTTTTTGTGTCCCAAACCGAAGCCTAAACCAAAACCCCCAAGAAGCCACTGCATGTAAAAATATTCTTAATCTCTGGCCAGTGTTGGGAACAATGCATACTTCCAGGGCTGAGGCAGCAGGACTGACTCAGAGGAAACTGAGACCCAAAAAGAAGAGTCATTTCCTCAATAAAGTCACCAGGTCTCCAGACAGCGTAGGGCCCATTTGATGCCACACTTCTTTTTCCCCCACTAATGTTCATTTTCGTAGATGCTTCTTGATGTTTATTTTCCTACTTATTGAATGTGAAAGTAATCATATTGCTGCAAATCTTTGTATGTTTGAATGCCTTAAAAGGCTCTGTATTAATAAAATCCTAGAGTTCAACTCTAGAAAAAGTTTTGCTAGATCTGGGACAAGTGGGCCAACTTCTTTCTAGAGGAAGTACTTTCAGGCATATCTAAATGACCTTTTAAACTTGAGAACACAATCCTGTCTAGAGGTGGAAAAACCACTAAGGTCCTTCCCCTTAAGTCAGCCCTGTCTACAAATTCCCCTTCCCTCCCCAACCCCTGGTGTGGTCTAGCACTTTGTTTTGTGATCAGTAGGATTAAGGTGTTTTGGGCTGAGACCTTGACAGAAACACAAACACATCTACATCTATACAACAACAACAACCAAAAAAGTGACTTTCATGTAGAGTTCAAGGTAAAATTTCAGGCACAAGTGATTGAGACAACAATAAGCCTAGGTACACTCTAGGAAAAGAGTATTAGTCCAGGTACGCCCCAGAATTGTGAAACAATGCCACAGCACATCTGGAATCATCTGTATGACTAATTGTACAGTCTGTTATTACAGACAGGTTAGGAAAATCTATGGGCCTCACACCAAGTGTAACGTGGTAATGTAGCAAACTTGTAAGAATGTTCGCTTCTTCGTTTTCTTATTTAGGAAGAGAGGTGGAAGGGGTCTAAAATGCCTTATGCCTGTTAGTGATTCCCTGTGTACTTGGTCTAGGGCTGATTTCTTGGGCAAAAGAGAAGTGGTCAAAAGTTAACAATCTCATAGGCTGAATATGGAACCCATTCAAAATCTTGTTCAGGTCCTCAAAGGATCAGTAAAACCATTTTCCTTTTTGAGAATTAAATCAGGTAGTCTTATATCTTGTTGTGAGGACCCATAAATTCATAGAAATATAGAGGGTCATTTTCTGTGATTCAAAAATTCTTGGTTTGGGGTAGTTAACATGACTCTCTAAAGTCCTACCCTCTGCATGGGCATTGAAGACCAGGAGCCACATTTTAGAATAGGGCATTGCTGGGTTCGTAAAAACAGTTTCTAAACCAACAAACGATAGCTGGAGCACCTTAACCAAGTCCAATAGCCATCCTAGCTTATAAAGAAGTAAATTTGTGTTTGCACACACAAATATATTGACTATCAGCATAATTGGCCTACACAGTTTATGTACAGTTTAAAAGGCTGATGAGAAAGAAAAGATCATAAAACAAGGCTGCTGCCTTCTAAGTACAAAGCAGGCTGAGTAGGTGCCAGGGTATCGGTAGCACCCGGACAGTTCAGCAACAAGTGCAGAAATGGAGGGAAGCTTGGACGTATAAAGTACTGAGGGAGATACACTCACAGGGGTGTCTGGAAACACCCAGAACGTGCTAGAAGGAAGTAATAGCTAAGTCTCGAATGAGGACTAGAAAAGGTCAGTGTTAAACTAAGGTATGAATAAGTACATCTGAATTTTTTCATAATTTAGGGCAAAGCCTAGGAGAGAAAGGAATCGTAAACAACCCCAATTGGGAAGAACTGAGTGTGATAACAGAGACGTGTTAAGGGGCATTAGGGACAGTAAAAAAAAAAAAAAAAAAAAAAAAAAAGTCAGGGTGATGATTATTGAGTATTACAACTGGGAGGAGGGTCTTGCAGGGATAATAAAGGGTGAAGGGTGTGAAGTAAGGGTCAGGAATTGTCGGGGTAAACTATGGGAAAAGACTGTGCAGACGTCAGCAGCAAAGAAAAAGAGGACAGGGTTGGGGCGTGGCTCAGAAAGGGAATGGCTCAATAGTGGGCCTTGGGGTGAAAAGGAGAAGCGTGAGGAAGGGCTTTGCTGACAGCAGCTCTCAAACGGTGCCTACGGGGTTAAAACTCAGGGGCGGCGAGAAGAGGCCGAACTCGGTTTCCAGGGTAACGGCTCCGACAGTTCCGGCAGCGCAGGTTCGTACCACTGTGCCGCGCGCGGGGGGGGGCGGAGCGCGAAGGGAGGAGGGCCTAGCGAAGAAGCCTTGGAGCCGAGGGTACGTCCCGGACGCTACCAACCGCGCCGCCCGCCAGCTCGCCCCAGGGTCTGCGCCGAGCCGCGCTCCGGCCTCCTGGCCGCCGCGTCTTCCTTGCCCGGCTGGCAGCTTCCAACTGCCCGCGGACGGCGGGGGATTAGAAACCTGCGCCCGGTGGCCTGAGGTGGCCTCCCGGTCCCCCCGCCTGGGCGGCGGAGTGCGGGCGGCCCGGGCTGGGAGGTTTGAAAAGCGGGCGAGAGACAAAGGCAGCAGGAAGCCTCCACGGCGCCCGGAGCCCTTGTGCGCAGCCCCCGAGGCCCTTCGCGGCCCGCCGGACTGGAGCGGCGGCGGTGGCAGTGGCAGTGGCAGTGGCAGGAGGCGGAGGATGCGGCAGGGGGCGTGGGAGCGGCGGCGGCGCGGGCGGCGCGGCGCGGCCCGAGCGCGGCGTGGTTAGACCCCAGGCGGCGGCGGCCCTGCCGGCTCGGGAGTGAGTGAGGGGCGCCTACCCCGCCCGGGATGTGAGGACCGAGCGGAGCCCGGGGCGGGGGGAGGGAAGGGAAGGGAGGCGAAGCCGGCAGGAAGGAAGGAAGGACGGACGGACCAGGAGGAGGAGCGGCGGCGGCGGCCGGAGCCGGAAGGCGGGGAGGGGCCGTCCGTTGGGCCCCAGGCGGCGGCGGCGGCGGCCAGGGCCAACTGCTCTCGTCGCCTCCTCCCCCCGGCTCCGCGGAGGGGGGAGGAGGAAGATGGAGACCCACATCTCTTGCTTGTTCCCCGAGCTATTGGCCATGATCTTCGGCTACCTGGACGTCCGGGACAAGGGGCGCGCGGCGCAGGTGTGCACGGCCTGGCGGGACGCCGCCTACCACAAGTCTGTGTGGCGGGGGGTGGAGGCCAAGCTGCACCTGCGCCGGGCCAACCCGTCGCTGTTCCCCAGCCTGCAGGCCCGGGGCATCCGCCGGGTGCAGATCCTGAGCCTCCGCCGCAGCCTCAGCTACGTGATCCAGGGTATGGCCAACATCGAGAGCCTCAACCTGAGCGGCTGCTACAACCTCACCGACAACGGACTGGGCCACGCGTTTGTGCAGGAGATCAGCTCCCTGCGGGCCCTCAACCTGAGCCTCTGCAAGCAGATCACCGACAGCAGCCTGGGCCGCATAGCCCAGTACCTCAAGGGCCTGGAGGTGCTGGAGCTGGGGGGTTGCAGCAACATCACCAACACCGGCCTCCTGCTCATCGCCTGGGGCCTGCAGCGTCTCAAGAGCCTTAATCTTCGCAGCTGCCGCCACCTCTCGGATGTGGGCATCGGGCACCTAGCCGGCATGACGCGCAGCGCGGCGGAAGGCTGCCTGGGCCTGGAGCAACTCACGCTGCAGGACTGCCAGAAGCTCACCGATCTTTCTCTAAAGCACATCTCCCGAGGGCTGACGGGCCTGAGGCTCCTCAACCTCAGCTTCTGCGGCGGCATCTCGGACGCCGGCCTTTTGCACCTGTCGCACATGGGCAGCCTCCGCAGCCTTAACCTGCGTTCCTGCGACAACATCAGTGACACGGGCATCATGCATCTGGCTATGGGCAGCCTGCGCCTCTCAGGGCTGGATGTGTCGTTCTGTGACAAGGTAGGGGACCAGAGTCTGGCTTACATAGCGCAGGGGCTGGACGGCCTCAAGTCTCTCTCCCTCTGCTCCTGCCACATCAGCGATGATGGCATCAACCGCATGGTGCGGCAGATGCACGGGCTGCGCACGCTCAACATTGGGCAGTGTGTGCGCATCACCGACAAGGGCCTGGAGCTGATTGCTGAGCACCTGAGCCAGCTCACTGGCATAGACCTGTATGGCTGTACCCGAATCACCAAGCGCGGCCTGGAGCGCATCACGCAGCTGCCCTGCCTCAAGGTACTCAACCTGGGACTCTGGCAGATGACGGACAGTGAGAAGGTCAGGTGAGGGAGGCGGCACCAACTCCCCTTGTCCCGCCCTGTTCATCCTCCTCTCACCACCACCCTCCTTCCCCTCTCACTCCACATGCACACTTATACATAGATCATTGCAGTGGGTGAGATGGGACAGTGACACGGAGCCTCAGGCTTTTTTCCTCCTCCCTCCAGCATCCCTGCCCACTACATGCCCATTCATTGCTTCTGGGGTTCCTCTGCTACTCCTAACGTACTCCCTTCTCTTGTCCCTGAGGATGGGGAGAGGGACTCGGCTACTTACCCATCTACTTCTCCCCACTGGGGAATGGAGGGGCCAATTGAGCTACTGTATCCCCACTGCGTTGCATTTGAAAATGGGGGTGGGGGTGGGGAGTAACTAGTCCTTTCAACTCTGGGGAGTTGAGGAAAATGTCTGCCTTCACTTAAGCTTTCATTTGAATACTGTGATCTGGTTTTTATTTTGAAATGTATGAAAGCAAACCCAACTACAACGGCCTTTTCACCCTTCTTCCACTTTGTAACTAATCCCAGTCTCTTCTCATCACTTTTCTTTTTACAGTACTCTGCTGTTCATGCTCATTTCATTTTGATCGTCTTTTTTTTTTTTTTTTGGAAGAAATTTGAAATCATGGTCCTTTTTTTTCTGCTGAATATATTCTATATATTATATATATATAAATTTTATATTTATATATATATATATGTCTGGCTACCTCGTTTTAGTTTACTTTTTTCTCTGAAGCCCTGGAATTCTACAAGGGAGATATTTTGAGACTAAAACATTTTTGTGCCTAGACTGGAAAGATGCCCATTGGGTTTGTACGTCTTTTTTGTTTTGGCTTCTTCCCTAACCCTGTCCATCCAGTATGTCCCACTTCCACATTTTGGCTATACATAATTATTTTTCTCCTTGTCTATTGGGATTTGCAGGCCCAACCATGTTCCTAAATCTTGACTTAATTTATAGCACAAATGTGTGGGAGAAATGAGAGTTGAAGTGTTTTGTTTGTTTGAGATGCAGATTGTCTTGAAAATTATTATTATATATGCAAATTTGCTCTATCTGCACCCTCTTCCAAGTTTCCCCACAAAAAAGGTCACATAGTGAGGCTTCCTGTTGGAAGCAGAGGAGCAGAGTTGGCCTTCGGAGCCCCTGGGGCTGTAATGTGAAGGGAGGAGACAAATTCATGTCTTATCTCTGTTCTGTTAATAAAATGGGAATTTGTGGGTTTTAAAAAACTCTGTTTCTGAATGGAGGAGTAGATGACTTTATTTTGGTGGGGGTTGGGACTTGTGGCTTTCAAAAAATCGCTTTTCAGTAGGATGTATATTTTTGTTGGATTTTTTTTGTTTGTTTATTTTTTTAGACTCCTCCACAGCAACATTCGCGACCATGGCGTTAAAGAAACCCAGAGACCTTTATCAATTAATTGTACTGTTTGTGAATTTGTATAAATAATAACAAAGATCCTCTTAAAACGTTTATATTCTTACAGTAAAAGGTTAAACTGATATTTATATAATAAAAGAGGAAATATGAAGTATGTTTTTGAAAAAAAACAAAAACAAAACAAAACCTTGTTATCTGTGAATTATTTTGAAGACAGTGTGTGTTTGGGTACATGCCAAAGTCGGAGGTGCTGTTTGTGTGCTTTCAAGTAAAAGGAAATAGACTTCAGTGCATCCTGCGTGCTATGCGTAAGCTCACAGTTAAAATTTTATTCTGTATAAGGTTTACTACTAAATGTTTTGTTTTTAGAAATGTGGTTAGATAGGAGATTTATATAATTTTTGGTTTTCAACTGTCAAAAAAATGGAAATTTAAAGAAATTGAACAAAATGAAGCTTTTTTAAAAAACAGATCTGTAAGAGTCACAATTTCCCCAGGGTAGCCAATTTTCCTTTGGGTGGAAATGACATCTAGGGGTAATGTTCAAAATGCAAGTCATGAGATATGCAAGTGGGGAAGGAGGATAGGTTTCTTAACACTCTGAGTGGGTGTGGGGAGGATGTGAGACGGTGAAGGCTGGAAGGAATCGAAGCCATTGTTCAGGAAAGTTAAAAGAGGGCTGTCCTTGCTCCCGTGCTCGCTAGCTCAGTCATGCATACTGAATCTCACAGTGCGAGTGCGGGTCCTAGTGGGGAGGAGGGCAGTTCAGCCCCTCTTTTTAACATTCTCCTCCAGGCCTGGCTGTATTTGAGCACTTTCCTGGGGGATGGGGAGGTTGGCCAGGAGTTCTTGCACATTTGCATTTTAAGCACTTCCACTGCTGAGGGTGAGGGTTCTTAGACTGAATTTTGGGGCAGATAAACGAATGCCAACAATTCTAGCAAAGCATTCCCTTTGATAGACAATAACTAAAAAATCTGACACCCTGGGATGGGCTTTGGAAGAGTAAAACTGCTCAAACAGTGAAGTAATTCATATTCCTGGGTTCACACAGGTCTTTCATAGTTGCTTCTGAGATTTTTCTTTTTAAACAAAATAGTGATCCCAGCAACAGCTGATAAAGAGAGCAACTATGAATAGAGAGTATTATAATACTTCCCTGGATTGGCACCTCTTTCCAGGAAGAGAGCTAGAACCCAGGTTTCTCTTCGGGTAAGATTCTTTTGTACAATATCCCAAGCGTTCTGCTTGAGAATATCACAAAAGCTGCATTGTTCCTTTTTGGAGGGCTATCATAATTGGGTCTAATTGAGCCTGACACTAGATCCATCTTCCTTTTCTTTAGGGAAGGTGTGGATCTCTTTCTTTCTTCTTAGGTTACAGAACTTACTGCCTGGGGGGAAATGTGTGAATCCTAGTCAGCAGTAGGGACTCTGAATTAGGGTCAGCTTTCTAATTAAGCATTTGACACTATTACGCACGAAGGTTACACAAACTATAGGTTCTTAGACTGTTTTTCTTCTTCCAGGAGACTGCCTGGCTGTTGAGATTCAGTCAACAAAAATGTGAGCACCTCCTAAGCCCTAGGCTCCATGCTCCCTCTTCATTTTAATACCCAAAATAATCCAACTGGAACTGGAAGGATTTTATGCTTCTCTCTTCTGTTTGGTTTTTACTTTAAAGATTAAATACAACCTTGACTAAAGGTTAGTAAATTAGTGTTTGAAAGTTAAAGATCGTGGGCCCAGTGTCCTCATCCTGAACTGGGCATACTTAATATATCTGGAGCATCTCTGGAAGAGAGGAATAAACCACTTACTTCATCAGTCAAGGGTAACTCCTTGTCCCTCTACCTTTTTGGATAGACGGAGAAGAATATGTGTTGAGAACCTATGGTGTGCTTTGCATGGTACTTGTGAATTTTTCCTTTTAGTTCTCAAAGCAACCTGCTGAAACAGGTATCTTGTTTTCCAGATAAAGCATATTGCTCCCCTTAAGTCACCCCCGCCACTAGCTGAGGGGAGTCAGAACTCAAACCTGGTCCATTTCTAAAGTTCAGCTCCCTTCTGCTCTGTGAGAAGGTTCCGTTACTGATCACACCTTGGTTTCCAGCAGGGCAACCTCCCAGGTGTGGAAGCTGTGTTAAACAGTGTGGACAAGCTCATGCTGTACTTTAAAGGGCAGAGTGGTGGGTTCAATCTCCATCATACCTACAAACGTGGAAAACGCTTTTAAAGAATAGAAGCACTAAAGAAAATGAGTAGATACATAATTTGTGGGGGGTGCAAAAGTTAAAAGTCACTTCAGGGCAATTTTTAGAATAACAGAAAAAAACCTAGTTCAGGTATTTGCTGAAACTTCATAACTGAAAAACCAAAATAGGAAGTCTGTAAACTTTATCATCTAAAAGTAATAAACCTCAAGAGAAACCCTTTGGGTAGTAGTTTAGACAGGGCTCCACATACCTTTCTTTTCTAAGTCTCATTGGGCAAGAGCCCTGTAAGGTCTTTACTGAAAAGATTACTTATAAATGCAACTGTGGGGTTCAGATAGTTTCTCAGCCTCTGAGGACCATGGCAGGCCTCTAGCTAGGAGAGCTGGGCATCGTTGCGTAATTCTGCCTGCTGTGGACTCCTTCCTGCTGAATTCCTCACTCCTAAGGAGGGGGAGGTCCCACTTGATTGATTCCACATTTGGCAATAGTGACAAGGATGCCTGTCTAACTTACAGTATGTCCTTAAATAGTTAAGGACACTCAAGCTGATACTATTCTTTGATGATTTAAATCAAACAACAAGGATCTGAAAAAGCAAATGTTCCTTTTAATGGAGTTTCTTTTTAAAAGTAAGAGCTTTCTTTAATAAGGACATATGATATGTAAATTGAAGCCTGGCCTTTCCCCAAATGCTTCTGCTTCCTGCAGTGGTTACTAGATAGATGCTGGTCTTGGGATAGAAGTAAAAACATTTCACTTCGGGCTTAGAGAATTTGAATTCATGTTTTCCAAGGGGTAATGGCAGTGGCCTCCAGGGACTACTGTGTTTCCAAAGTATAAGAGCCTTTTGAGTAAAAGATCAGATTTGTGAAACAAAACCAAGACCTCACGTAGCTTCTGACAGTCCGCCCTTCCCAGACCCTGAAGGGAGAGCCTGTGGTCTCCGTTCTCAACTGCTCCGCTGTGGAAGGGAACTGTTGTTAGTCCTCCAGCAGTCACGCTCTCTGTTGTCATTCTCCTTCCTGCTTCAGATATTTCACAAAGTTAATTCTGTCCCTTTAGGAGAGGGCAGGACCTAAATTTTGTGCGACTGTGAACCCCTGAGGGTCAGGGGTGAGGCTTTTTGATTTAATAACTTGTATCATGGGTAAAGCACAGGATTTGAAATTGAAAAGCTACATTCAAACCTAAGCTGATGCTTAGACCACACATTTATCTCATTTTTGTCAATGGACTTGTCCAAAGATTAGGTAGCAAATAAAATTTTTTGAAGAAGTGAATATTAAACCGATGAGACAGTTACACTTGGATCAGTGCTATCAATGATTCAGACCTTACCGAAAGCAAATGCACAGCAGGACAAAGACCATATACTCTCAGGTCTGGGATAGAAAAGGGGTATTTCTAGGCAATTGATACACTTAAATGTCCACAGATGATCAGTTTCAGTCTTTTTCTCTTTTCCAGGGATTGCTCTGTTTCTGCCTAGTGGAGGTGCCTGTACCAACCCAGCACATTGGTACTATGTAAAGCCAGGCCTTCCAGCTAAGATGAGTGAGAAAGAAAGCTTGAGATCTTCACTGTGCAACACTAGAGTGAGGTGTGCTTAGCATCCCCCCAAATAAAGACAAGTTTTTATCATATCTTTTACTCTTCTACTTTGAAAGACAAGTGCCACATATTCTTGTACGTTTGGCTTTATTTGTGATAGTAGAAAGTAGTCTCAGTTACAAGGATGAGAAGAATGAGGTCTCCAGCAGCGAAGCAACCCAGGTGAGACAGCATCAGGTGAATTCTTCTAGGTGAACGTGGTCTGCTGGAAGAATTTAGTCCTAATACAGTGGTCAACTTCCCTTCTCAAAATCTTTATTTTTCCAAATATGGCAGATATTGTACATTTAATTTCATAAATGGCGAAAGAGGCTTGACCAGGTTGAGAAGATCCTGGCTAGGTGAAACAGAGCATCATAACCAGGGCTTCTCCAGACTAATGACCAGGTCAGAGAGTGATCACCGTGCAGACAGTTCTTGGATCTTTCCCTGGGACATTGCGAAGCACTGCCCTGAGCTCTTGCTTCAGAAAAGTGGTTAACCAGAGCACATTTTCTTTGGGAGTAAAATAAAACAAAACAAAAACCCCCAAACCTCCAAATGCTGAGAGTTATTACTATTTAATAAGCATTAAATTATGCAAACTCAAGAATATATTTTGCAAGCATTATATACATGGTTATTCAAGAAGCCAAAAAAACTAGTGCAAGTTGGCAAATGGGCCATAAGGTCCCCAAGTAGCTAGTAGCGTCAGATCTCATCTGTTATCTTCTGAGGACTTCAGCCAGTTTCCAAAAACACTTGCTTTGTCACAAATAGTAATGTTAAGTACAGACACTACAAGTCTGTGCTTGTAATAGCCTCGAACCTAAGAACTTATATTTACACATTTACAAATGTCTCACACAATCCTTTACTGAGGTAAAATCAGGTTGTGGGAACACTAGCTATTTTCATGCAAGGGTAAAAAGGCTAGACTTCACAGACGTTTTAGTTACAAATCCCTCTTGTCTAGAAGAGTAAAAGGGTCTAATTTGTTAATATCAGGCAGCCTCTTAGGTTTATTACTCCTCTATGTAATCCACACTCCAGAAACACCAGGCCCAGCACACAGCTGTCTGTCAATAATTACAACTCATATCATGGATCCAAGGTAATGGAATTAGACTGTGGGAAAATAGATGTTTGAGGCCAGATTTTTTTTTTTAAATAAATAGTGTGGAATTAATATGGCTTGGAAATCATTGTTTTCCTCCTCTAAAAAGAACATGAAAATGTTTACTAGAAACACTCATAATATTTATCCTTAGGAAATCTTTACCTCAGACTGGCATTTTTATGTACACATCTGTGTAAGAATAGCTGCCTGCTTCCAGTTTGCTTTTTTGAGAAGCGGTCTCTGAATATGGAGAAGCCAAGA